TGGCCGTCAACAACCTTCAATTCCAACAAAGGACCGATGCTAGTATTCAGACCTTGAACACACAGATGGGACAACTTGCTACTCAAATAAATACCATGCAATCTCAAGGGTCGAACCAACTTCCAGCCCAAACAGCTGTCAATCCAAATGGTCCTAATGCTAATGTGAGTGCAATTACTTTGAGATCCGGAAAAGTTACAGAACCAACCCCTGAAAAAAAATCATCGAGGTAACTTCTAAACTTTCTCCTTCTGAACCTCCTCCAGCTAAACTTTCTTCTCCTTCTTCTCTTGTGGTCGAAACTGAAAAAAATAAAGAAAAAGAGTATGTACCCCCAGTCCCCTTCCCACATAGAGTTCTGAAAAATAAAATAATTGAGGAGGGAGACAAAGAAAGAGAGATATTAGATGTTTTCCGAAAAGTTATGGTAAACATTCCGTTACTTGATGTGATTAAGCAGGTTCCTAAGTATGCTAAGTTTCTAAAGGGTTTATGCACCAACAAGAGGAGGATTAAGGGAAGTGAAAAAATCAACTTGGGAAGAAACATTTATGCTTTTATTCAGCCCAAACCTTCATCTGAAAAGGCTGTAGGCGAGCAAAACGTTTCAACCCTCACCACTCAGGTCTTGCCACAAAAGCAGAAGGATCCAGGAACTTTTGCTATTCCTTGTACCATCAGGGATGGTAAATTTGAGAATTGTATGCTTGATTTGGGAGCAGACATTAATGTTATGCCTACTTCTGTTTATAATAACCTTTGTCTTGGTCCTCTGCAGCATATAGGTTTAATCATTCAATTGGCAAACAGGAGCAACACTCGCCCCGCAGGCGTAGTCGAAGATGTTCTTGTTCAAGTTAACGATTTGATTTTTCCTGTAGATTTTTATATTCTAGACATGGGAGGCGAACAAAGTCCAGCAGAGCCCCCATCATTTTAGGCAGACCGTTCATGAAAACAAAAAAAATGAAAATTGATGTTGACGATGGAACCATGTCCATGGAGTTTGGTGACATTGTCGCAAAATTTAACATTTTTGATGCCATGAAACATCCTTTAGTGGAGCACTCCGTTTTTCGTATTGAGCTGATTTATGAATTAGTTGATGACACTTGTTCTGAATTATTTTCACTTGATTTTCCACCTCTCTCTGGTTTTGATGATGTTTATTCATGTTCTGATTGTACTGACACTAACCTTTGTATTGTGTGTGCTGAGATTAATGCTGTCGTGCAGGGTGATATTTTTCATGCAGATGAAGTTATAGATGAAGTTGTTTATGCAGCTGAAGCTCTTGACATCCCGGCTGCCCTAACCAAACATTCTATTGAACAACCACCTTCTGAACCACTTCCTGAGGATTTATATTGTTCATCAAAGCTTCAATTTGAGCAGGAAGAAAAGTTATTGCAAGAACATAAGAAGGGAATTGGGTGGGCCTTGGTTGAAACTCATAATTTTAGCCCAACCATGAGTATGCGCAGGGTCTTAATTGAAGATGGAAGAAAAGCGGTGAGACATCCCCTTAATCCTTTGATTCATGATGTTGTGGAAAAGGAGACCACTTTCACGTGCCCATTCGACACGTTTACTTATCGAAAGACCTTCTTTGATCCTGGAATAAAAGACGAAGGAATTACTAAAAATTTCAAAAGCAATGGTCATTGCCCAAAGCTACTCCAAAACAGTTTTACGATGGGACACAATTTTTCCAAAAACCGATTTTTTCGACTCTAGACGCGAGAAAGCCAAAAACGTGAGGAACCTAGGGCCTAAGCGCAACAACACTAAACCTATGACTCTAATATCGATTAATAACGACAAGAATCCCCGACAATGGTGCCAATTTGATCCGCTATCGCACGCGGATCAATCATCTCTAACTTTCGATGGACGAGGTGTCCGTCGCTGCTATACTTGCAATGGTGGTTTAATAGCTGTGGGGATGGTAGAAGGGACATCTTGAGCATCTAAGTTACAAGTCTCATCGGGTGACACTGAGGTAGAGAAAAATAGGGAACCTTTAAAGAATGTAACATTAGAGGAAACAATGTACCATTGAAGTTGAGGAAAAAAACAATGATATCTTTTTTTGTATACATGAGTATCCTAGAAAATTCTTGGAATATAAGGAAAACATCAGAACAAAATTTCATTAAAAATAATCATGTATATCATGAGAAATCATCGATGAAAGTTATAAAATAGTAATATTCTAAGGTAGACTTCACACGACTAGGACCTCAAATATCATAATGAACTAAAGCAAAAGGTGATGCAACACTTTTATTTACTCGTTGACAGTAAGTACTGTGAGTATGTTTGCCTAATTGACACGAATGACACTCAAAAGATGAAAGCATAGAAAAACCAGGAACTAAAAGATGCATTTTATTAAGACTAGGGTGACCCAAACATTGATGTGTAAGGTCTTGAGAAGCAATCGAACTACATGCCACCGGTGGAGATAAATGATATAATTCTCCAAATTCACTCCGTGCTCCAATCGTCCATCTTGTACGTCGATCCTGGACGTAAACAAAATTATCATTAAAACTGGCTGAACAATCAAGAGTACGAGTAAGCTTGTGAACAAATATCAGATTAAAAGGACAACCAGGAATGTAAAGAACAGACTCTAAAGACAAGTCTGGGAGTGGGTGTGTCTACCCAAGGCCTTAAACTTTGATTTTAGAACCATCAACCACAGTGACAGAAGGAAAAGAATCAAAATAAGACAAGTGAGATAAAAGAGATTTATTACTAGTCATATGATCAGAGGCACCAGAGTCAAGGACCCAAGGACCAAAAGAAGATGTAGATACAAAGGCTACAAGACTATCCGATTGAGAAACATCAATAAATGATGATGTTTCATGGGCTGCTTTGAATTGGAGAAAATCATTGTAATCAGCAGCGTGAATAGTAACGTATTTAGTGTTGTCCGGTTGAGCGACAACAATGAACCGTGGTTGTCGTTGTTGTTTTCTCGCCTTTGTACGACAATCAACTTCAATATGATCGTAACAATTGCAATAGTTATAATGAATACCATGATGTTGTCCACCCTATCCTCCGGTTTGTCTACCACAACCATAATAGTGGGAAGCAAGAGCAGTTGATTCAGTGGGAGATGGATTGTAGATCGGTCCAAAGGCGTGAGGTGTGACCAAACGCAACATTTGTTCACTAACTACTTCATAGTTAGGAACATTGAATCCTTATAAAATATGGTTTTGGACGGAATCAAGCTCTGGTGGTAGTCCAAAAAGTGCCACGATCATGAAATACTTACTTTGTTGTTCAACATGAGTTGTTGGATCTTTGGTGAAGGGCATTAGGATTGCGAAATTTTCCTTTAACGTATCAAGCTTACTCAGATAGACTTGCAAATCCATATTCTCCAATTTCAAAGAGTTGAGTTTGGTGATAACATTATAAAGATTGTGGACATCATTAGAGAACACTTTCTTAGCATTTTCCCAAACCTCATAGCAAGTGGTAAAAACTTGGTACTGTGCTTGGAGATTAGTTGCTATGGAAAACCATAACACAATGCATAAAGAAGCATGAGTTTGTTTCCACTTATCACATTTGGCGGTTGGAATATTTTCCGATTTTGTAGTTAAGTGATCTTCATACCCTTGACAATGAAACCACATTGTGACAACACCATCCCATATATTATAGTTGGCTGTTCCGGTTAGTTTCTCACACGGGATAAGTTGAACCTTCGTAAAAGTGGCATAATCAGTATCTCCTATGTTTTTTCTGTTGCTTGAATGGGAAAACCGAGAGGAGATATGGAAATAGTACATGAAGACGATGCTGATGACGAAAACAATGGTGGCTAGACGCGCTGTCACGCGCGGAGGGAAGGGCAGTGCGTGAGATCCACGCACAGGTAGCGGTATAGCGCATGAGGGCGCGTCCTAAGGCGGACCACAACGACGATTTTGGGTACCGACCAATCAGAAGAAGACGATGTCGACAATATGGTTACCTCACCGAAAAAGTCGTCGGGAGCGGTGGTGCGCTCGTGCAGTGCTGTGAATGGTCGGATATTTTGCGGAAACAAAAATAAAATATATTCTAGAAGACAATGGGTCAACCAGCTCTAGATACCATATTGTGATTGTATTTCTGTGTGTCGAATATGATCACACATGCTATATATTTATATGGAAAATAGGTATACACAATAGATAATAACATAATTTACACTTATGACTAATTGAATAGAAATCAATATTAATTGATTTACAATCAATTCTCAACAAAAATAAACTAATTTATTATGTTCCGCCAAATTATAAAAAATACACAAACAATAAAATATATATATATATATATATATATATATATATATATATATATATATATATATATATATATATATATATATTTTTTTTTTTTTTTTTTTTTTCATTCCATATCACTTCACTTCAATCCCGCCCCATTCTATACCATAATCCAAAACGTTTTGTAATAGTACAGAAAACTTATTTATTCTTAAAATTTTATGTCTTTAAATTTTAGAAGTATTTAAAATTAGGTTCTACAATTTGTGTTCTTAATCTCTTTGATTAGTCTAAATTTAATTTAGAAAGATAAAAAATTCTTGAATTTGTAAAATTAAAAACCTGCTTAATAAAAAATTGAAATTTATTACCGACCAATAAAATAAAATAAATTCTATTTCCACTAGTAATATTTTCGTGAGAAAAAAAAATCAATTATATAGACTCAAATTTCCTTCAACGTTTTTTTCTGCATTTACAACTCGTGTTGCTCAGCTGAGCTCATTTCTCTCTCTCTCTAGCAAAACCCTTATTTCATTCTTCTGCGATAATATCCATAGAAAATTCAATAACCCTAAGAAAACTCACTCTGTAATCAAACCATAACGATCCAAGCGGCGAACTCAACATTTCATGGTTCGCATCACTGAGTTGAATCGGATAGGAATCTGAGTTTATCGTTGATCGATTGAAGCGCTTATGGGTGCCGCTGGTTCCAAGCTTGAGAAGGCTCTAGGTGACCAATTCCCTGAAGGAGAACGTTACTTCGGTCTTGAAAATTTCGGCAACACTTGTTATTGCAACAGCGTCTTGCAGGTATAATCAATCGATACTCTAACTTTTTAATTTCCAATCCGATTCATTCTAAATAGTATTTTCTTTACTTGCTTCGATGGTTTTATCAATTCGATAGAAGGTTTGGTACAGTTTTAAACACGCTGTTAATGGTTGTGATTGTGATTGCTTTTCTTTTCTGAATATCTGTTGTTGACCCGAAGTTTTAAGTGCATAATTGATGAATATTTACAAGGGTTTTAATCTATGAAACGCGACATCGACACAGACAAGTTGCCACCGGTAATAATTTAAAAATGAATAAATTAAACTTAATTACAAGTGTTAGTGTTGTTTTTCTTTTTTTTTCTAGAGGGTTTTCAGAGGCGGTGTTGCTACATAGGTTTTAATTATGGACTTGTTTGGATTGGTATTTGATTTTACTATCTATTAGCATAATCACTTATGAGACTGTAATCAGGTTATGACATGTCCATATTGTTTTTTTAACTAATTTCTTTAAGCTTCAAGATGATTTTAAAAAAGCTTATAGCTTAGGTGAAAATTGTTTTATCTTTTGTTTTTGTAATAGCGTGTACATAAACACATAGTGTATGTTTGGTTTAGCTTTTGTCAAGTCAAAAGCAATTCTAGAGGTGTCGAATTGATTTTAGAATGATTTTGAGGTGTTAGTATCTTCTAAAGCAGAATTGATTCTGCCTCCAGAATTGATTCTTCTTGAAGCTAGAATTGGTAGCTTTTGAGTTTAAATTTGATTTTTATATTGAAATTTATTGTTCACCTTAATTTTGAATAAAGTTATCCAAACATGAATCACTCTAAATTTAACTCACTGTTAACCAGAATCAATTTTACCGAATCAATTCACTAAAAATTAATTTTTTCACTGCAGAACCAAACATACAAAGTTGTTTGTCCAAACAAGTCTAAATATGGTTCTAAGTATTGAATTTGAAAGTGTCTGTGTTTGTTATTTTTCTGAGTAGATTTTATCGGTTGTTGTCTATCAAGTTACTCATTTTGACACCTTCTGCAGGCACTATACTTTTGTGTTCCATTTCGGGAACAACTATTGGAGTATTATGGAAATAACAAAAGCATAGGGGATGTGGAAGAAAATCTTTTGACATGCTTAGCTGACTTATTTTCACAGGTAATCGATTTGTAATTTTGACATTTCATGCATTACATGTCTGACCGCTCTGTGCATTGTCTGATCTGATTGATCCAAGTATGATTCACAGTTTGAGAATTTGTACTGTCTTCACAAATTTTGTCTATGGTGCATGCCTTAGACTCTTGTCAAAGATGGTGTTGACCTTCTGGCTTTGCATTCTTCATTCATTTGCTCTTATGGAACAAGTGCAGTTTTGTCATTTGAATGGCTCAAAGTGGTTATTGCTATCCTTAGTTTTATAACCATGTTTTCTTTAGTCACATCCTACCAGATATTTTTTTTTTTATTTCATATTTTTGTTATTGCCTGTGGGTTGAAGTCTTGTCAAAAAGATAAGGTAACCTACTAGATAAAAACATAAATAAGTCGTTGCTAACTGATCAAAGGAGCTACACCATGATTATCCAGCATTTGGATAGTATGAAAGTTAGTCTTTGCACATTTTAAAATCAGCTAGTTATGTCTTTCTTGGTCCTGAATGCAACATATTTGCTTATTTTTGGTATAGATAAGTTCGCAGAAGAAGAAAACTGGTGTCATTGCTCCCAAGCGATTTGTACAGAGGTTGAAAAAACAGAATGAACTCTTTCGTAGCTATATGCATCAGGTATGTGTCTTATGTTGAGAATAAGCTCCTGTACATCAAATCTTAGTCATGAAATCTGTAAATTCTTTTAACAGTAACGTTAATGTTATAAAATATAATTATAAATATATACACAAATAAGAGATTAGTTTGGATACGAGTTTGTATGCAAGGTTTGGCTATGCTATTTGTTGCTCCATGATTATGAAAAGATGCTAGTAGCTGTTGCTCCATGCTTATTCGCATTTCCTTTCTTCCAACTTTCAGCTTTTCTGAAAATGGATCCTAGTTAGAAATGCTATTATCTATATTGAATGTTTCCAGATGGTAATGCTGGGAGCTCGTCAACAAGTATTCCAGTTGGTAGATCATTAGGTAGACCAGTGTTATTTTTTTATTCTGTCAGATTGGACCAAATTTAAAGCATGCAATTTTTTCCCTCTGAATTATTGGACATTTTTTGATGAACAGAAAATTCTTTAAAATGTTAGTTAACAGCCATTAGTTGAAATGATTACTGATACTTTTACACATTTGAGATAGTTTATTCATAAAAAATACAAGGTTGTTAGCCTGTGAACATGTACTATATGCAAATTTTATGTTGACAGTTCCACATTGAACAAGTATTTATAAGTGGGAGATACTCAGACCTTATAAGCTAGTTTAACAGACTCAGGCTGTTATTAGGCCACTTTGGTCAATTGGGTCAATCCAACACATATTGAGGTTGAATGCAAATTTCAAGATGAGAACTTTATTTTAAAAACAAAAAAACCTAAAATAAGATGATCAGATATTTATTTGTTATCCTGTGGTTTAGTTTGCTTGTTTTTCCCAACTGGGAGGGGTTTGAATCCTGCTAGTAGTATTTTGGGCATTATTTTTCGTGCAAAGAAATACTAAAATGCCAAAAAAGCTTATCCAAGAATTGAATTTAGGCTCCTATTTGCAAAGCAAAGGAATGTGCTGCTATAAAATTTTGCAATCTCATTAAACACCAATATATATGAAAATCTACCACTTGGGCTAAGGATTCTTTTTTGGGGGCCAAAAGTCCTTGCATTGGTGGCTTGGATCAATCCTGCAAATCATATTCCAGATGTCCATTCATGGGCTGAGGAGTGTGTGTTGGCTCTGATGAGAGTCCCACCATAGTCAATACAAACTTATAACCCGAATAATAAATACTTTTAAGTGCGAGACATTTATCTTCTTACAAGTCGGTTTTGTAAGGTTGAGTTAGATTCAATCAAATTTAAGACTTTAATATGATATTTATCAACTATTATTTATATCCGTGGAATCATAATCTTTTCCATATTGCAGCCCTTCCTCATCACTTTGGAATATAGGATCATTACTTTATTAAGCTTGCTCATATGTTTGGCTACATATCATTGTTATACAGATGGTGATTCGTCTGATTAGTTTTTTCTCTCGTGAAAGTGAAATAATAATTCAGTAACTGATGTTGAATGTTTATTTTGTGAAAATGACTACAATTTGTTACTTGCAGTTGAGATTTTTGTTCACCATAAATGTTACTGTAGCATACAAGTTTATTCATTATTTATCATTGATTGTTTATTTGCACATCACCACATATTTTATCTAGGTTTTCACTAAAACAACAATGTTACTGTCGGTCTTCTCTTTTTGGTAGGATGCCCATGAATTCTTGAACTTTTTGCTGAATGAACTGGTTGACATTCTGGAAAAAGAGGCTCAGGCATCAAAGGCTGATCCAGAGATACCAGCACCTTCTGAAAAGGTTGCAAATGGATTCAAGAATGGACATGCTAATGGACCTCAGAAAGAACCTTTAATTACTTGGGTACACAAAAATTTTCAGGTGACTTGCTTTGTCAATTTATTCTTGTCTTTTTTTCTCGTTGTTGCAACAAATTTGTAGGTAGTATGAACTGTGCATGCCTTGATACTGATCAGTTTTGTTAATATCCGTTCATAATATTTGCTTCTACTTGTATGATGGAGCAGCATATTATGTGTGATACTAGAGCACTTGTTTCATTCTTATTAATTTCATCTTATCATAAACCAACTTAAAATGTCACACTTGATGAAAATGATTATAATATAACAATAATATTAGAAATAAAATAGTTTTGCTTCTGCCAGTTTCTATTTATTTATTTTTGTTTTTTCGGGGTGGTTGTTGATGCTATTTTCACTGTTGATCACAAAATTTAGATTTATATCCATGTTGTGGAATTTCATTGTTGCAATTTGCTGTGATTAGGGAATACTCACCAATGAGACGAGGTGCTTGCAATGTGAAACTGTGACAGCTAGGGACGAAACATTTTTTGACTTGAGCCTTGATATTGAGCAAAACAGTTCAATTACAAGCTGTTTGAAAAATTTCAGTTCCACTGAGACTTTGAATGCTGAGGACAAATTTTTCTGCGACAAATGCTGCAGGTATATGGCTTTAATATTGGGGCTTTAGCTGTTATTTGATTTCTTGACTGGTTTGGAAAATATACTGTCTGTTTTCAACCATTTTGAATCATGTGCTTAGCTATAATATGCAGCTGCTTGTTTAACATGTATTTTAATTGATGCAATAGACTTTGTGAAAAACCAAATTTCCAGATTCAGATCTAGATCATTTTTAATAGTCTCAGTCTTTTTACGCCTTCCTTTTGTACTTTTGACTGGAGAGGGAAATAAATTGTTTGTGGTGAAGCATATATCAAATAGTTTGAATATTAGGTATTTGTTTATGGACAGTTTTATCTCCTTTTTATTTTCAATAAGCAGACCAGAACATGATCATTTTTCCATTGCATGGCACTTCATTTGTCATCTGAATGGGATTTCTTGGCCATGTCAGCTCAGTGTGTACAAGATATCATGACCTTTTTATCAGTCTTTTTTTTCATGCTCATTTACCAGTCTGATGACCAAGATGTGAACTTTCTTTTGATATTAGTTTGCAAGAAGCTCAGAAGAGAATGAAGATAAAGAAACCACCTCACATTCTGGTCATTCATCTCAAGCGGTTTAAATACATGGAACAGCTTGGCCGGTACAAGAAGCTGTCTTACCGGGTTGTTTTTCCCCTTGAGCTGAAGTTGAGCAACACTGTTGAAGATGCAGATAATGAGTATTCTCTATTTGCTGTAGTTGTTCATGTTGGGAGTGGTCCCAACCATGGGCATTATGTCAGCCTTGTCAAAAGCCATAACCACTGGTTATTTTTTGATGACGAAAACGTGGAGATGATTGATGAGTCTGCTGTGCAAACTTTCTTTGGATCACCACAGGAATATTCAACTAATACAGACCATGGGTACATTTTGTTCTATGAGAGCCTTGGCTCTGATAACAATAACTAGATGGAGGTGTTGTACTACTTTTAGGTACTCAAATCATTTGGACAAGTATTTTCCATCTAGTTCCTTAATTTTCATGTTATACCATTATTCAACCTGTTGGGGGAACTGTTGCATCCTTTAGAGTACAGGTTGTGTTGTGAAATGTATACTTAGGTGGTTGGCATGTACAGTGGATGGTGGGAGCACTGTCCTTTTTCGTCTCCTTTCTCACAATAAGTGCAGTATATATATGGTGGAAATTTTGCCTACAATATGTATTCACGGTTGCAAGTGTTCAACCAACATTAGAAACACAATGAAATGTAAAATGCTTGATGCTTAAGCAACATTATTTTAGTCCCATAAGAGCTTCAGGGTATCATGTTTGTGGTAAACTTAAATGGTGTATACACCCAAGGTTGCCAATATGATCTTGCATAAGATTGGGAGGGGATTATTAAGTTGTAAAATATAAAATCTTACGGAAAAATTTACCCAATTATTTTTTTGTTAAATTGTAAAATATAAAATCGTAATTGAAAAAATTTATCAAATTATTTTTCTTGTAAGATCGTGAGGGGTAGGAGGATTGGAAAATAAAAGTTCCCAACAAAAAGTGCATGATCTTACTAAAGTGAAAAACAGTACTACATTTTTGAAACTGTTGTATATTCTTGTATGCAAGTGTATTGTATTTTTGAGAAAAAGTTTTTACAATTTTAATACAATATTAATACAATATTAATGATATACTTTTTAATATATTATTTATTATTTTATTTTTTTAATCTTTTAAATATTTTTTTAATATTTAATAAATAAAGAGTAATATTATAAAATTATGCATAATTTTTTTTAATTATTTTTTTATAATATTTATTCTGGACTGGACTCATGCTTGATCGGGCAGGTCTAGCCCAACGGTATTTGAGAAATGTCTAAATAGATTCAAATTGTCAATGTCGAGCACAGGTGTTCTCGTCGACCAGACCGCTTCCTTCGTCGGGCAGAACAACATGTCATCTACATGTTCTTCACGTCCTCTCCTCCACAGGAACACGTCATTAGTCAACTATCCACCTCCAAAAGAGCTGGTCAATCCACCTTCCGGAGATCACGGGACGATTGAACTAGGGCGAAGACCACGTGCTGGTCTTCACTACGCCACGTAAGTCCTAGCAGTCATCTGAATTGGTCATGACAATCCAGTCCAACACAAGTGACAGTTGGTCCTGCGTCGAGGTCTCTCTATAAATATCTTCTTTCACTAGAGGGCCAGATATTCTCTTTTTAACCTCTCTTCTGTATTTGCTCCATTATGGTTCATTACTCATTTTGGCATCAGAGTGTCTTGCAGGTACACCTCCTTCCTCCTCCATACCTTCGGTGAACAAGTAGCAGATCAACGACGTGTGACAGTCACTCTCTCTTCTGATCAGGTCAGATCAGTGGCGCCGTCTGTGGGAAACTAAGTTTTCTCGTTCCTCCGAGCAGAGAATCAAAGCTTTCTCCTTTCAAATTTCAAAATCATGGCTAGCCCGCGTCACGATGACGCCGTTCACAATTCTGCCCTTGCCTCAGTCACTAACGGCGATAACCATCCAAGGACATCTCAACCCCGCGAGACCGACATCAGGGACAACTAAACTGCCTCTCCCTCATTCGAGGACGCTGCACATCACGTCGTGCCTCAGGCAAGGAGCCCGACGATCTTTTAGCCCGTCCCCACGCCGGCCGGGGCGGACCCGATGATGACCGCCCTTTTCGCGGCCATCAACCAGACAAACTAGATGATGTTCCAACAGAATAAGCGCATTGACGCGCTGGAATAGGATACCTCATCTCGCTCTCCCCCACGAAGAAATCAACACGGGAACTCTCGGAGCCCCTCTCCACAACCACGAGGACGTCGACCACAGTTGGAGAGGCCCCAACTAGTCGCCTCCGTAGTCCCCTGTCCGCAGCGACGAGGACGACTACAAGACCCCTCTATCACGGGGAATCATGGTGACCCCCATCCCTCATGGGATGGAGAAGCCGTTCGTGCTCTCCACGTACGACGGTACTTCGGACTCAGAAGATCACCTCGAGGATATCGAGGTCATGCTCGATTACAGAAATTTCCGGGGAGCCATCAAGTGTAGGCTCTTCCCGACAACGCTAGGAAAGAGGCCATGACCTGGTACAAAAGCCTAGAGCCCAAGTCTGTCACGTCTTGGAGAGTCCTGAAGGATTTATTTTCACGACATTTCACAGCGCCGAGCCCTAGGCGCAATCATGCAGGCCCCAGATGAGCCTCTCAGAAACTACATTAATAGGTTCACGAGGGAGGCGGTCCAGGTAACGACTTTGGACGATATGAAGTGCTACCTGATGGAGCAAGGCCTACGTCGAGGCTCCAAGTTCTACGAGGCTGTGGACATCCATCGACCAGACACCCTCCAAGAGTTCCTCGAGAGAGCCCGCCATTACATCTGGTTCGAGGAGACGGAGGCCGCCAACACTGCCCGTGAGACCCAACCCGACCTGGCGAGGAAGCAATTGAAGGCCTGCCTCCGTGAGAACGCCGACCTCTTCGCCTGGAGCGCCGCTAAGATGCCCAGACTCGAGTCTGAGGTCTCCTGCCACTAGCTCTCCGTCAATCCAGCCGCTAAGGCCGTAGTACAACATAGGTGTAGGCAGTCCCCCGAAAAGTTGGTGGCGGCGGAAAAAGATGTAAAAGACCTCCTAGAGGCAAATTTTATTTCGGAAGCCCGGTACTAAACCTGGGTGTCCAACGTTGTATTAGTCAAGAAGTCTAATGGAAAATGAAGGATGTGTGTTGACTACACAGATCTCAACTGGGCATGTCCTAAGGACGCCTATCCCCTCCCCAACATCGATAAGTTCGTTGACAACTCGACGGGCTTCGAACTGCTGTCCTTCGTGGACGCATACTCGGGGTACGACTAGATCCCCATGACCGAGGCCGACAAACAGAGCACGACATTTATGACCGAATCGAGCAACTACTACTACAACGTAATGTCCTTCGGCCTAAAAAACAAAGGCGCCACCTACCAATGAATGATGAACAAAGTCTTTCAAGGAGAGATCAGCGACATGCTCGAGGTCTACATGGATGACATGATCGTCAAATCCTGCACGGAGGTCGATCACACGGCGCACCTCAAAAAAGTCTTCGAGACAGCAAGGAGCTGCAGGATGCGGTTCAACCCAGAGAAGTGCACCTTTGGGGTACGCGCGGGGAAGTTCCTCGGGTTCTACCTGATCGAACAGGGAATCGGAGCGAACCTGGAGAAATGTCGGCCTTCTCCGAGATCGCAATGTCGGGCACGAAGAAATCGATACAATCCCTCAACGGGATGCTCGCTTTGTTGTCCCATTTCATCGCCAAATCCGCGCAGCACGCCCTCATGTTCTTCAAACTATTGAGGAAGGAGGCCGCGTTCGAATGGACGGAGGAGTGCGAGCAGGCCCTCCTTCACCTCAAACGTGTCCTGTCAAAACCGCCCGTCTTGACGAGGCCCGAGGCCGGGGAAATCCTCTACTTGTACTTGGCCGTATCAAACGAGGCTATTAACGCCGTGTTGATCCGCGAAACTCTTGATGAGCATAAACCAATCTACTTCACGAGCAAGGCCCTTCACGGCCCGGAAGTTAGATACCAGCAGATCGAGAAAGTCGCACTGGCCCTAATCAACGCGGCCAGAAGGCTCCGATACTACTTCCTGGCCTACACCATCGTGGTCAGAACCGAACATCCTATCAAGCAGCTGCTCGGTCGATCCAATATGGCTGGGCGCATGCTAAAGTAGTCATTAGAGCTCTAAGAGTTCGACATTATCTACGAAGACAAAAAGCCCTTAAAGCCCAAGTCCTGGCCGACTTCATCGCCGAGATGACCCCTGCGACAGAGTCGACCCTGGGGGCTCACAAGTGGACCATTTTCGTCGATGGCGCCTCAAACCCCTCGGGAAGTGGCGCGGGCATCATCCTCGAAAATGAGGAAGGCACCGTCGTTGAGGTCTCCCTAACACTGACCTTTCCTACGACAAACAATCAGGAAGAATACGAAGCCTTCTTAGCCGGCCTCCGCCTGGCAGAAGGTCTCGGAGCCAAGGAAACAAAAATCTTCACGGACTCCCAGCTCGTCGCCTACAAGTCCGAGGCGAATACCAGGCGAAGAACGAAAACCTGGCGGAGTACTTAGCCCTTATAAGGGAACAAATGAAGAGTTTCGACTCCGCGGAAGTGCAGCACGTGCCTCGCGAGCAGAACACTCGGGAAGACGTCCTCTCAAAGTTGGCGAGCACCAAAAAGAAAGGCAGACACAAATTTGTCGTCCAGGAGATCCTCGCGCAACCAAGCGCGAAGAGGGCGAAAGCGCTGCTCGACGTCAATGCAATCGGGGACGCCAATTGTTGGACGACCCCCATACACGCCTACCTCAGCTCGGGGCGCCTCCCCGACAATGCTAAGGAGGCTAGTGCGGTCAAACGACGATCCTGCTCGTACGTTCTGCTCGACAACAAACTATACCGAAGGGGTTTCTCGACCCCCCTCCTCAAATGCGTCGACAAAACCCAAGCTTCGGCCATCCTGCAAGAGGTTCACAAAGGCATCAATGCACAACACCTCGGAGGAAGGTCCTTAGCGAGGAAAGCCTTACGGGCTGAGTACTACTAGCCGACGATGCATGAGGATGCAAAAGAACAAGTCAAGAAGTGCGACAGGTGTCAACGACATGGGGACATGCACCTCGCCCCTCCAAGCGAGTTCAAGTTCCTCTCCTCCCCTTGGCAATTCACCTGGTGGGGGATGGATATCCTCGGTCTGTTCACCTTAGGCTCTTATCAGAACAAGTATCTGATAGTGAGCATTAACCACTTCACCAAATGGATCGAGGCCGAAGCCCTTGCTAAGATCACGATGCACAAAATACTTTGTTTTTACAAGAGGAACATCCTCGCCAGGTTCGGCGTTCCGCTCGCCATAGTCACCGATGTAACACCCCAAGT